CCTTCTTGTCTCCTTTTTCTGACCCGGACACTTTTCGTTACTTCCCCCTCACCGCCTAGACCCCTCAGGGGAACGTAACAATACCTTTAATATGCACACTGAAGGATATATGAAAGAATAAGTGAATATATCAAAGATTCCTTGCAGTGTTATTAGAGGCCAAGGTAGTACCATCAAGGCTTACATGTCTATTAGGCACATCTGAAGGTTCAGTAATTGATTTGTATCTCCTGCCTTCATGAGAAACTGAGTTTTATCAACATAGCAATGAAAGTTTTTGCAGTTATTTCTACTAACATTGTCTAAGGGAAGCATGTGCTGTCAATAGTATTGATCCCAGCCCAGAACCCAGAAGAATTTTCCCCTAATGGTTAATTTTATTTGTAAAGAAATTCATGAAGTCAATAGCAGTTAAGGTCAAAGGAATACTTGGGTCAGCAGAGCTCTGACTCTTTGCCTGGCTGCTCTGCTGAACAGAAACTGTTTTCCTCTATCAGATGTCTAATTGTTGAGGGCTTTTTAAAGAGTAGCAAAGTATTTTTTCCAGATCAGAAGAAGGTTTTCTAATTTAGTGAAATGCCATTTCCTCCCTAGTTTAAAAGTTGCCTGCTTTAAGACAGATGTGACTTATACAAAGCTGTACGTTTCTCTGCTTTGTTGAGTCATAGTTGGGCTGTTACATAGGTAACAAGATAATCTGTCTCTGAAGGAGTAAGATTCAGGTAGCTGCTCACATCATGAGTCAGTACATGGTATTATTGAAGATAACAGTGCAAGGATCATGTCTTTAAACTTTGTTACAGCACTTTCAGAGAGACCTCCACTGTAATGAAATGTATTCCCATTATTGTAAATTTAAATTTAAAAAATGGTCAGACAAGACATGTTTTCAGGGAATACTGTTAAATACTCAGTTTCTATGATGTACCATATGTCAGGACAAGATTCAGAGTGTTATTTAAAGACATAATTCTAATTTTACAAAGACTAAGAAACTGGTTGTTGTTAACTTCAGGTAGTCCAGAGATAATCCCACTGCCGTTCAATTATATAATTATACAAGGTAAGTAGAGGTGGAGTGATGATGTACGAATCAATCAAAGAATCGATAAGTACTCGGGCTAGGTGAGTGTGTGAACAATAACTGGACTAGGTTACATTGCATATCACATGAATCACCTCCTATAAAAAACAACGACCAAACACGACTAGCTACTCCTTACCAGAGAGCTCGAGGCATCCATCATATCAACATCTACAACAGAAGACCTGAGCATGCCTATTATTATATACCATCAGTAGAAGCGGATAAACTTAATTCATATAGCTTTATGTGCTGATCAGAGCAGCACAGCAAAGAAGGACTCAGAGTCCTAGGCTAGAGAGCAACAAACTATATCATGAAGGCGATCTCATTGTGATTGCATAAGAACTGAACATACATCTGATGAAAAACAAAAGATTAAAATGACCGTGAAAATTGAAACATGTTTCAACGATATCTAAGAAATGACACAACTGCCTAACACTATAATGAACTTACAATCAGACCAATCGTGGACACTCTGGTGACAGTGGCAGAGAAAAGGACATTAAAGAAACTGATGGACATTATGGACAATGCCAGGCATCCTCTGCACACGGCCATTAACAACCAGAAGAGTCTGTTCAGTGACAGGTTGCTTCTCCCAAAGACAAGAACTAACAGACTTAAAAACTCCTTTGTCCCACACGCCATCAAACTGTTTAACTCCTCTCTGGAGGGGAGAGGGAGGGGAAACAGGAGGACAAAGGAGGGGGGAACAACTAAGCTGTAGTGCCTCTTCACCTCACTGTACAATACCTTGTGCAATACTTTTGTAAATAGTCAACAGTGCAATAGACTCAATACTTGAAATGTGCAATTCACTTGTATTTTTATTTTTTATTCCTATTTATTCTATTTATCCCCTTTGTATATTTTATTTATATTTGTCTCTGTATTTATATATGTGTGTGTGTGTGTGTGTATATATATATATATATAACAATTCTGTAACTGTAACTTCTGTCGTTGCTGTGCTTTTTTTGGAAGTCGAATTTCCCAGAGGAACCCACCCGAGGGATTAATAAAGTTCTATCTTATCTTATCTTATCTTATCTTATCTTATCTTATCTTATTTACATTCTGAAAGAAGCTAATTGTGTTTAAATCACATACAGTGTGGAGGCTGTTGTTCTCAGCATCTACACTAATGTTAAAATCACTTTCAACGATGAGTTTAAGTAATGCTCAGTCAGTTGTTTTAGCTGTGTGTTTTTGTGGCTACCCTATTTAGTAATTAACCCCCAAAAACAATTAAATAATTTCAATATGTGTTAGGACAGCTTGAAAAACCACGTGCTCTTTGACAGATTTACAGCGTCAAACACTCTTAGACTTTTTTTTAAAACAGGCTGTTTCATCTCAATGTAACATTGTTGATCCAGAAAGGAAGACCATTTATCAAAACCCAACATGTTACATTTTCCTGGGTTGTAATGTAAACATGTTGTAACATTACAACATTACAGCTTTTTTTATGTCGTCAGCAGGGTGGATACATGAAAAGAAATGCTGTTATTCTGTGCCTTATCTGCTCTATATTTTATATTATAGTTCCGCTAATATTTCAACATAATCTACAATGTTTTTAATTGTTACGTTATTTCGTATTTCTGCAGAGCTGAGTATCCTTTTGAAGAAAGTGTTTCGTTTAGTCGTTCAGGTTGTTCCTGCAGGTGGAAGGGGGCAGAGTTTCACCATTAAATCTCGTTTGGCTGTAGGAAACACCTCCCTCCGCTTTTCGGATGGGGCGGATAGAGTTGCACCCGGGACACCCGTCAACTTTTCTGAAACATTCCGATAAGTGTCCGACGTCCTACCATGCCTGGACTGTAACTCACTTTGGATCGCCGGTCTGTTTTCTTGTGCTCCTGAGTCATGGCTCCATTTGGAAAAAACTTCCTTAAAGCCCGAATGAAAAACAGGTAACTTGATCAGATGAGTATGAGCTTTCTTTAAACCTGTTGAGTGTGTTTTTCCCCAACTTCGAGCATTAGAAAAAAGACGTTACAATGAAATGCGTGAGGGAGACGATTTACGCACAACTCGGCGCGCATCGAACTACGAATGAGCAGCACAAAATAAAACGCAGTTAAGTTGTTAATTTAGTTCTGCATATCATCTTTTTGACTATTATTATTGTTTTAAAAAATGATGTCTCCCCGGTCCAGTTAGAAAAACTGACAAACCTCCATACTGAATTCCAAGGAAATAATATACACTTCCGTGGAATATGAGATTTTGAGCGTCCTTTTTTTCATCAAGGTTATTACTATCTTAAACCAATTCATTCTTAATTTCCTTAATACTATTTGGGGAGTAATATATATTAATTTTACTAATTAAAAGCCAGTTTTGGCGAACCTGTCCGTGTGTGCACATGTTAAGATTTTTCATGTTACATTTTTAATGTAACTATACATGAACGATTTTATCAGTGTGCCAGTGAGTGATGTGCCTTTTAGTGGTGGTCTTTGTTTGTTTACAACACTGCAGGCCTACTGTACATTAGCTTGTAAACGTTTGGACTTTCTTCTGCTATTATAAAAAAAACGCACACACATATGTACACATACAAAGTAGTAGAGATCATGTCATCTGTATTACCATAATTTGCTTTTTGCAATTTCCCTAAGAGCGTAGCTTGGCCTTTTGATGTGCTTCTCTCTGCAGCTGGGGTCCAGCTACAGTTCTGTAAAGGCAAGGAGGAAAGTAGCGTTACTGAGCCACAAGCTGTCGTCTGTTATTGGTGTAGACATTCTGCTTCTTTTGTTGACTACAGACTTTTGTTGTGCAGAGCTGGTAAACAGAGTTCTCTTTCTGAGTATCTAGGTCATGATTGAATCCCTTGCTGCCAAGATCAAGATAAGGAAAGTTAAAGGGTTTTAATTAGCTTTACTCATTAAGGGTCTCAATTAACACCAAACACAGCAACAATGCTGAGAGGTATGGTAGTGTACAGTGCTAAATTACAACACTTTGACAGAGGCACCATCAGCAGAATTGATGCATTTTCACATCACACAGAGCTGAGATGAATTATCTTTGATAACTTCAAACAGTCTGACTGAAGTTGTCTCCAGTGGCTGTCTTATTTTTTTTTTCTTGCATAGTAATTATCATCGAGGCACCTATAATTATCTCAAGTGTTTAGATCTTTAGACATGTCAAACGCTTCACTTCGGAGACACCTGAGGCCGGCTCCTACTCGAGGTGAAACTTTGAGCTGGATGTTGACAACATGTGCAGTCGGAGCAAGCCGAAGCATCAAAATATTCACAAAATAAGAAAACTTTAATGTTGATTTGGTAAATGTAAAAAATATTGGAATATTCCATACTAAAATCAGGGAGTCTGATCCTTCAAACAACAGGAAATACAAGCCTCAGAATTATGTGACCAAAGCAATGTAGTGACCACTTGCACTAAGCCACCACTATAGCATTGTTAATTAGTTTTTAACATTGCTAGATTAATACAAATTTGCAGGCTGCTGAAAGCAATAAAAAAAGACAGTTTGTGTTTAAAAAGGACAGGGGAAGTCATTTCTTTTAATGAGAAAGGGTTGTTATGGTGATTTAGATACTTCCTGTGGGCAAAAGATAATAGGGGTGGGCGATTTCACATAGGAAAGGAACAAACAGGGTGTGTTGTGTCTCTGCTCACAGATGCTTATCAGGGAAGGAGTCTTCCCAGAGATCAACATATCCAGATAGAAAAGTCACATTATTTCCTCAGCAATCCCTCATTCTCATCCTCAGATAAGAACAAGAGGAAACATCTCCTGTCCGGCATCCAATAGTTTCTCTTCTGCATTCTCTGTGTTAAAGCCAAGCCAGACAGACACTTTGTAGATACTTTAGACTAGTATGATTTATTTGTTTTGGCTTGGATTTCTATATCTTACCTTTTTTAGTAAACCCCTATTGTTTTATATACACCAGTCAAACCTATAATTTGTTAAATAAACTACAAGTGTTGGTCTCGAAGAAAGAGAAACTTTGATTAGTGTAGGAAATGCAAATGCAAGCTTCTTATTGTCCCCTTTCACTTGTCTGATATTATTGACATTTATGTTTTTGAAGGGAAAAAAAGTGCAGAGGTCATGAGTCTGCATTGTGTCATATCCTGCAGCGCACATTCAGTTTTCTTTTAAAGGAAATACAGCTGAAAAATGTCTTCACTTCATCTCTAGTTGATCCAGTCAGCCACAACTTTTTATCAGAACTTGTTCTTCCAGTCAGCATTAGTTTAGTAAGAAATGTTGGATTGCACATAGGCCTTTTTTTCTGGTTTTAACTTGAGGTTAGCATTTGTGATTTGAGGATTTATGTTTACTTATTTGATTGTACTTAGCTTGGCTTAACTGAACAGATCAAGATGCCAGTAAAATTCATGACTTTTCCATCAACCTCGTGTTAAGTGCTAATTATGAGGTATTACAGCTATGAAAACCACAAACAAAATGAAGGCGTTAGCATAAATCACACAGATTTTAATTTTAAATTGGTTGATGCTGCATAGAAGGTGAATTAATCTATCTGGGGTAAGTTTGATCATTTCACTCAGGACTGTTTTGAGCTGTAAAAGCAAACCTGTGATCTTATCAGCAGCAAATATAATCAAATCCAAATATACTCACGATTCCATAGTGAGACGTGTTGACAGCAGAGGCTAAAGGACATGTTTGCCTATCTGCTATCAAAGCTTTGTTTCTCTTGAGCATATTTGCATCTCTTTTTCGTCATTGATCTGCCAAAACATGTCGGGACACTTTAGAGCTATAACTCTGTCATTTGCTATGACTTGCTCAAACCACCAGCATACAGGCCTCTGTGGTAACTTGTACCTTGCAAACTTATCACACAAGTGGGAACTGTTAATTCCTTCCAGGTTGTCATTATGAGCATTACAATATGCTACCGCAATGCAGCCGTAACGTAATCATCCAACACAGAAGCTGGTACGGAAATTCCTATAATTTAAGGTTAAACTGAACTTAGACGTGTGGGTAGTTTCCTCCCACACATCCCAGTTCTAACTGGATATCTCTGCCTCTAAGTTCAAGGTGAGGTCAAGTGGGTCTGCTCAGGTTTCTCGGGTTCATTCAAGTGTGAATTTAAAGTCGAACCTGTACTGTGCCAGTTGCCGTGCAACATCTGTCTTCACCCATAAGGGCTTTATATTTTAGTTTTTCTTGAAAGTATGTGTCATCTGAAGCTGTAATTCCACATTAGCTTTGAGTTCATTACACTATCAGTGTCAGCTTTGTCATTTACCACCCAGCAGTGTGACCTATGAAGGCACCCTCATTTGCTGCGTCTGGAACTGCTGTGTAATCCCAAGCTATGAATATCAAATGGCACCCAAAGTGACAGCCCTCATAAAGTATGTGGTGCGATGCAATCAGCGCAGCAGTGCATGCACTACTTGTGTATCTCTTGTCAGAGTCCTAATGGTTTGCCATGCATCTAATTGTTTGCTCTTAAAAAACACCGCAAAGTTCTGGTTAACCACATTTCAGCCAGTACAGTAAGTCAAAGTGGTGATGTCTGTGAGGCTAAGCCAGCACAATTCAAGTTGCCATTAATGTAGTCATATTCCTGCAGTATTCTTTCCAAAATAAACACAGCAGAAGAATCATTGTTCTATGAGGTAGAGCTTTAAAGAAAAAATATGCTATCGTTTAGGCTGAGGGGCTAGTGTACAGCCGTCTTTAATACCCTTTAGTACCCTGATAAAAATTGCTGTTTTCCTCAATAAGAAGCAATGTAAAAAGCCATAAAAGTGCAAGTTAGGTACTGTTTACAAGGTTGTGTCAGTGACAGAAAACTTCCAGGAATTGCTGGGAGTTTATGTGGATTTTGATGTACTAGCAGTTGACTCACAACCCTGAGGCTTACAGGGGCCTTAAATGTAAGTGATAATGCTGTTAGCTGCAGAAATGCAAAGCAGGATACCAAGAGCTTTCAATAAGTTCTGCCACAGCAGGACACAGACTTCACATCTACTAACTGCTGGGAATCATTGAGGCTTTGCCATTTTGGCTGCATTGCATAAGCTACAGTGTTTAGACATTCTCCAAGTCAATTCACACTGGCATTAGTTGCAGCATGTGTATCTGCACCTTAACAATCAAAGAACTCTAACAATAAATATGCCTTTAACTAATTTGGAAACTAAATTAGACTCATAAAAGTCATTCTCGTGAATAAATGAAATATTTATTTCTTTTTCGTCCAAATAAATCATTTGCTTTCAGTTCCAATGTGTTCCAGTGATAACGCATAATAGAAACTGTTAGCTCTTTCTTCACAGTAGAATGAAAATTAAAAGTAACCATAGTGAGCAACATGGAATCTCTTTTCCTCCCTTCCTCCTACAGTGCATAAAACTATAGTGGCAGGATGTTGCCTGAGTGCTGGTGATTGTGGCCTGAGACAAATACAGGTGTTTCCCTGCCTAACTGTACTGTCTTCCTGCACAGCTGTGGCCTTGGGTCACCCTTTCTGAAATAGCCAGTGTATGTACAGCATGTTTATTCGCCTGCAAGATTAGAAATGAGGACAGTGTGTGACAGGTTCAGGTTTATTGGAAATATCTGCATTGTGTATTTACAGATGTGTAGTATAGCTATGCTGCACTGAACATGTAATTATGATTTTGTTCCCTTTTCCTTTACCTTTCTTCTTTCGTGCCCTTGCACTTCTTGCCTCAGCCATTCTTTCATCCTTGCAATACAGTATAACAGTGGCTCACAAAATATTTTTTGGCCCCATATAATGAAATTGCTCTGATTTTTGGATTCCTCATCACATGCTGAGAAGGTGGGAGAGGTTTTGACCCATTAATGCACATGTGAAAGTAGGGCTGCTCGATTATGGCAAAAATGATAATCACGATTATTTTCACTGAAATTGAGATCTCGATTATTTGACGATATTTATTTAACCCTTTAAGACCTACTATAGAACCAAGTCCGCCAGAGCTTATATTTTTTTTTTTTTACATGTTGTAGTGCCATTTGTGGGAGCATTTCAAGTTGCTATACAACTGTTATAGCCCATATTTTAATAATATGTATGCATTAAGTCCATAGTAACTACATTAATTGCAAAAAAGTGCAATAAACTACAAAAAAAATTGAAAATCGTTTTTGTTTTTTTTACATATATTTCTACTTAGAGAAATTTAATAGGTTTATCCCTCAAAACTTTAAATACAAAAAAGTTGCAAAAAATAGTTTACAACAACAGGAAATTTATTTTGAGTGTCTTCATAGTTTTATTTTTGAGATACACCAATTTTTATATACTGCAGGAAAAACGAAAAAACAATCCTATGATGCAAATTTGCAAAGAAAACAGCACGTGCATCAAAATAAACTATTTCCAGCTGTGCAATTCGAGTTCTAAGCATCACAGAAACTATTCAGAAAAGTCAAACATGACTTATAAAAACACCAGTATAGGCTTTTAAGGCCTACAAGTAAAAAAAACTACATTTTCCGCGAACATGACATCACTTCCGGTTTCGGGCAGGAAATGGCGGGCATGCGATAGTTCACGCTGACGTCTGTTTCATTGTGGGAAGTGTTACGAACAGCTGATCGGATCGGCAAAGCGTGTTTCTGGAATATTATGTTTTTGTTGCTGCAAGTGCTTTTTATGCAATTTTTGCAAAGCTATATGTGGAAGGAAACCGTGACCGAGGACAAGTTGATGGCATAAGATGTAAGTACATAAAAATAGTTACACAAAATGGAGCGTGCTGCTCTGACCAGCTTTAAAGGGTTAACAATGACTTTAAAAAATAATATAAAATAGTGTGCAACACCACTGAAGTTTTTTTTACCTCTCTTTTCAACCAACGGCAGTCACTCTCCTCTCCAAATAACTTCTGCTTAGCTTATCGAGCTTCCCTCGGGTCCTCTTAATCAGCGGTCTCCAACCTTTTTTGCGCCACGGACCGGTTTATAAGGTGTCGCGGATAAATGCAACAAAAAAAAAACTAGTACCGGTACTGAAAAAAAGATTTATTCATAACCCACGTGAAAAGACCCAGGAAAACCGAGTTAACAATCAAAACGATAACAAAATAACGCTGAAAACCGATAAAAACCCTGAAAACCATACATTTCACACCTGAGCCTCAACTCTTGCGGCCCGGTACCAAACGACTCACGGACCGGTACCGGTCCAAGGCCCAGGGGTTGGGGACCGCTGCTCTTAATTGTTGTGATGCGTGTTCGAAATGCAGAGAGGTGCGCTGGATTTGCCACATGGCAAGCGCGAGAGTAAAGCATGAGGGAGGGGCTAATAATCGGCTCAGTCATTTTTAATGATCGTTGAAAGCCCAGATCGTAATCGTGATTAAAATTCGATTATTTGAGCAGCCCTATGTGAAAGTAACCTTTAAGTATTGTTTTATCAATAATAAATAAAATATGCATAATTGGTCAGGTTTACCACTCGTAATTCATCCAAATGAATTTGTTTTGTACATAGCATTTTAATTTAAGCTAACAACGACACTATGTTTAATAAAAGTAATGGGTTAAAAAGTGAAATAATGTATTGTATTATATTATAATAAGACTTTTTCAAACACACCACAAACTTGCCACAGTTGATGCCATGGTTCATGCCCTAACACATATTGACTGCTCTATGATGTTGAGCTGTTGTGTCAGATAAGCTCATTTTTTAAGCATGTGGCCACTATGTACGGTGTACTGGGTACACCGCCTGTTTTCTTTCCTGTGCAGCAGTAGCACTGGGGCTGTGTTGTATTGGGTGAAGTTGGAAATTCCATGGTCAAAGCAACAAGGGTTGTTGTCTATTAAATGCTTGAGGCATGTTGGAATTGTTTGGCCTACACATAGCTCAGGTATTTGCTTTGCTCCGGTTTTCTCCAAGAGTCTTAATAACCATTAACCAACCTATGAATTGCATTCCTGAGACCTTATTCGCCAGATGTTTACACTATGCTCCAGTTGGGTGTTCATGTGTTATGTGGGAACCAATACATTGTGGTATCAGTCTGTCAAATCTACAAACTGAGAGATAAGCCTCTTTCTCCCTTTGAATAATATACACAATGTCTTAGACATGCAGGTTGGGGTATCTATGTCATCTTAATAGGATGTGGCTAGTTTTTGTTTTTTTGGTTTGGTTGGTTGGTTTTTTTGCTTCCTCCCGCATTGGTGACGTAAGTTAGCATAAGTTGCATTCGGCCAAGGTTATCAGAACAAATAAAGGCAAAGCAGGTACATGATGTAGGGTTGTGAAGACGTTGCTGCATACCAACCTGAGGAACAACACTGAACTTTGATAGCTGGGCTAAACAAAGGACTTGATTTTAATCCCAAAGTCTGTTTTAATACATTGTAAATATCGATAAGACTTCAGATTTATCTAGATAGTAAAGTGAAATATAATTTTAAAAGGCTTAGATGAAAATCCAACTTCCAGACAAGTGTGTTGGCCCTTTCCTTTTATCCATCAGTGTCACTATATCAAATTTCCTGACAAGCTACAGCCAGATTTCCTTGTTGATGTTTTCTGCTTTTGTTATTTAAGGCTAATTTTTTCAACCTTTTTTTATTCGTAGATGTGATATTATCCAGGATTAGAAGAATGTTTTTCTCTATTACTGTGAACTGATTAAAGAAGTATTGTCTTTTGGGTTGAAAAACCACAGACCAACATTCCTTTAACCCACAAAAATCAGTCTGCAGTTTAACCATCAAAGGAGGAGTTCTACTTTTTTGTGTCTGTGATTTTTATGTGGATAATCTTTCTCTGGGTTTCTTTGCGATTAAACTGTCTGCAATTATAGGAGTATTATGTGTCACTTATTTTTCCCTGAAGACTAGAATTTAACTTTAAATAATTCACCAAGACAGAAACTTGGCAGTCAGAGATTCCCTAATGAAACACATGAATCGCAGAATGTTCCTAACATGTTATCTTTCATATAAATAATAGAGTGATACATCATTCTTTATCCTGAAATCAGATTTAAATGTCTGGTGATGTTATCTTCTTATTTGTGGCCGTCTGCATTGCCGGTGCCTATCATTTAATGACTGGATATTAGGTCCTGAATATTACCGGTGGTTCATTAAGGATGTAAAAAATGAATATCTTCGGCCCATCAGAGGTCAATTTTTGAACAGGTTTTACGATCCATGCAAAAACTTAATGAGGGCCTTGAGGTTAAATAGCTCAGAACCGAACCATTAAGTGATCATCTCTGATGAGTAAGACGATGAGAAACAGTAATAGAATCAAGCCAGGAAGCACAAAATGACTGAATGTAGTTTTCTGCTCATTGACCTAATGGAAAGCCATCAAATAAGGATGCATTCATAAAAACATACTACTTAGAATAGGAAAACAACTTTTAAAGTATTATAGAGAGAGAGACTTGTTTTACTTCAGACGGCAAGTATGTTGAAATATGGCTGTCTAAATTTCCTTTTGGGATTATTTATCTAACTACATTTTTTTTAACCCTTTTGTTGAACTGCTGTCTAGAAAGGAGCATTTCTAATCCCCAAATGTACGTGTCTAGAATTGAATTTGTGAACATAACTACTACTATCACTTAAAATGTATTCCAATTCAATTTATAAAGCACCAAAACACAACACCAAGTTAAAGACTTACAATAATACAGAGAAAACAGAGAAAACTTCAAAAATCAGATGTCGCACTTTAGTGACTGTGGGAAGGAAAAACTCCATATTTACAGGAAGAAACCTGCGGCAGAACCAGGCTCAGTGGGGGTCAGCCATCTGCCCCAACTGGTTGGAGGTGAGGGGAAGGAAACACGACCAGCAATCCAAACCCGCCTTAATGCAATGAAACATGAAGGGTTATATTTTAATGTCACAGAGTGTAAACATTGTAGAGCATTAACTTAAGAAAGCATTTCCAAGTTTTCATGCATAGCCAAAGTTGTAACTTTTGTTTTTCTGTCTTCTGCATAGGACAAAAGATGCAGAGCCTGTGGTAGGAAAGGAGATCCAAGTTACTGTCTGCAATGAAGAGAAGGTTGTCTGTGGAGTAACAAAGCATACGACATGTGCAGATATGATTCAGGCATTACTGGATGATCACAAGTCAGTCCCAGAGAGCAAGCGGCTACTGGATGGAGAACCCAAAGACTTCTGTCTCGTTGAACGGTGGAAGGGTTTCGAGAGAGCTTTGCCACCTCTTACCAGAATACTGAGACTCTGGTATGCTTGGGGTGATCAGAGGCCCTTCATACAGTTTATTCTAGTTAAAACCAGTGATTTCGTGCCTCAGCCTGCTAAGAAAGGTGGAAAGTCCAAAGGGGCCAAGCTGAAGCGATGTGAGCACGGTCGTGCTCAGTATTCCCAGTCTCTGCCAGCGGAAAAACAAAAGCGCATGGTAAAAAAAGCTTTCCGAAAGCTGGAGAAACTTCATATGGAGAGCAAAAGCTCCCTAGGTGCAGAGGAGATCGACCAGATGGTGCAACTTATTCTCAACCAGGACCACACAATTAGAGAGCAGATCCAGCGGATAAGGGAGCTAGATTCAGAGATTGAGCGGATTGAGCTGCAAGTCCAGCAAGAAACCAAGTCGGAGACTTCCTTGGCTCAGGCCTGCAGTCCAAATTCCGAGGCACACATTGAGGAGCAGCTGCAAGAATACTTGTACACCAGCGATGGGGTTGTACAGCTGGACATGGAGGTTCAGAGGCACCAGGAACTCATCCTCCAGTTGTCCCATGAAATTGACGCTGAGCTTAGGAAGGCCAGCCTCGCTCTGGCTCAAGATGAAGACCAGGGAGGAATGGCCACTGGTTCCTGGATCCCCGCTGACACAGACGAAGCATTTTATACTGCTGAAATCGAGAGGCTGCGGGGCGAACTGAATCACAGCCTCTTCACCGGTGTTTCCATTCACAACCAAGCTGCTGAAATAGACAAGCAGATAAAGTACTTTGACAATACACTGGTTTCTAAGGATCAAGAGTGCTGGCAGCTAGCCGCCCAGCTGAGCTCATTGCAAATCACGGACAGCACAGAGGAGGAGCAGCCCATAACAGTCCAAGGGAAAAGTGAGACCCAGTGCGGCATTTCTCAGACAGTGAAACTCAAACACACCCTGTCCCCTCTAGACATTACAGACACAGACTCAGACACTGGGATTAGCTCCACACACAGTCAGGACTCTCTGTCACCGTGTCTCGATTTCCCTCCCCCGCTGGACACAGACGTTTGAAGAACCCGGTTCACTCAGCAATGTGTTCTTCTTCAGTCACCAGCCGCAGTTTTTTACTCCTCACATGTGCTCTTTGTTTCATGCTCTGTGCTTGCAAAATTAGCAAAAAGACACATTTTCTGCAATTTTTAGTGTCTCCGGAACTTTGTTGCATCGTCATCACACCATGCCAAAAAGAAGAATGTAAGAAATGTCAACTTGGGTTCCAACAAATTAATACAAGAGTACTGTGGTTGATTCTTAAGCGTGTTCACAGAAAATTGGTCAAAAATGTTTTTGCAAAGAGTTTGCAAGATGCAAAACATATCCTTGTTTAATATGAATAATTTTCTCAGGTATCAAAGTAACAGATGGTTAGGTATCAGTGTAACATGAAATAATACATGCAAGACACTAACTGAGGCTGTGCGTGCGCTACTTATAATCCTACATTATTGATAGAAGGTTTTCCCATTTTTAATTGCCAACAGAGATGCAAAGACCAATTTTTAGATGTTTAGTTTTGTCACTTTAGATGATAGTAAATAAGCTTTTTGCTTTTTGTAAAGTCCTCAAGCTATTTATTAAGTTGCACTTCTTACACACTTAAGGCTATTAACAATGTTTTATATTAAAACAAAAAGATAATAGTTTTGATGTAGTATTTGTAAAAGAAAAATATACTTTAAACACTGTTCTTGACTATTCTGTAAATACAAACCTAGTTCGCCCGATTTCAAATGGTAATTGCCCCTTCTTGATATATCATTATTTAACTGTGATTAGATGACATCTTTCCGTCTAGAAAGGGCTACAAAGTCATTTCTAAGGCTTTCATGATTCAACACTAAGAAAGAGAATAGATAAAAATGGCATCCATTGCAGAGTTCCAAGGTGAAAATCACTGCTGACCAAAAAGAACACAAAACCTTGTGTCACATCTACCAAAAACAACTTGATTCCTGAATATTCTGTGGATTGATTAGACAAAAGCAGAACTTTCTGAAAGGTTTGCATCCTGTTACACCTGATGTAAAAGGTAGCACAGCATTTCATAAGGAAAACATCATACCAACAGTCAAACGCAGTGGTGTTAGTGTGATGGTCTAGGGCTGCTTTCCTGCGTCAAGGCTTTGGCCACTCTCTACCGAACAGACTCTATCCTGGCAGACGGCATCACCTGGAACTCAAGTGCACTGAGGTTATGCAGCAGGACAATGATCCAAAGTACGCCACTGAATGGCTTAAATACACACAAAGAGCAATGAGCTCACAAGGAGTCCAAACTGAAATCTAATTGAGATGTTTTGGCATAACATCTCAATTAGTTCATGCTCAAAAATATTCCAGTGGGGCTTAATTAAAACAATTCTGCAAAGAAGAGTAGAACAAAGTTCCTCCACAGTGATGTGAAGGACTCATTGCCAGTTATTGCTAATGTGTAATTGCAGTCCATGCTGCTAAGATTGGCACAACCTGTTATTGGGTTTAGGGGTTTAGTTTTTGACACAAGACCTTGTTGCATAGTTATTTTACCTTAATAGATAAAATTATCATTTAAAAAGTGCATTTTGTATTTACCCGGGTTATCTTTGTCTAATGTTTAAAACAGTGTGACAAATATGCAGAAATATAAGATATCAGGAAGGAGGCAAATACTTTTTCACAGCACCTTATGCTTCTGCAAATAGTATAAGTAATTACTGAGAAAGGCACAATTGTAAAAGAAAAGCTTATTTATTTACTGTAGTTACCAAACTACCAGTTACCAGAATTTTGGGACATCGTGTAAAATTCAAGTAAAAATAAAATGCAATGGGTTCATGAGATCTGCAAATCTTGTAAACCCATTTTGCTCGTAAACATTCCAACATTTTAATATTTCATGAAAATATTATCTCATTTTGGATTTGGTGACAGCAGCATGTCTCAGAAAAGTTGGTGAAGGGCAAACGAAATTCAAGTTACAACAATTTCTGGTACATAAATAGCTGGTGGGACATTTTTCAGATAATTTGGCAACAGGTCAGTAAAATGACACAGTCTGAAAACATGTGAAGCCAAAAATATGACAAAGAAGACAAAGAATCTTATATCAAATAAGAATGGGAAAACATTCCTCTCCCACGAGTCCAGCAACCGCTCTCCTGAGTTCCCACATGTTTACAGACTTAGGGGAAGCTACACAGCATAAACGTGGCTCTCTTCCAACTTTTTTGTCGTGCGGAGATGTGTTGCTGCAGTCAATTTCAAAATGAGCTAATATCTTTTTATTAAAAAGCCACATTTTTCTCAGTTTAAGCATTGAACGTGTATCCTCTTGTTAATTAAATATGGGTTTATGAGATTTGCTTATCACTGCATTGTTTTTGTTTGCAATTTTCACAACGTTCCAGCTTATTTGGAAATGGGTTTGTATTTTTCAGATGTAATTTTGTGACAAATCACTATTCGCTACCTGCCTAATCAAACACTAGATTCACTATCCACCAAATTCAGTTCACACGCCCTGCGTTTTAACCACTTAAAAAGTAAGCTATTACTTTTAAGAATAATGTACATCTTGACTTTCATAATAAAAGCTAATACTTTAAATAACTAAAAACACTGTCGTTGGGTTTTTCGGCACCATTTGTTTAGGATTTGATTGTCTTTTAAATAAAACCTAGCAACAGTGCTGCCTAAGGAAGGGTATCTTCTTATGCAAATCATAGGATTTGAAATCATAGGGCTGCTTGCCACATTTCCAACAGTTTCACATCTAGTTAGGGTCTATAAACACTTACGAATTGGTTTTGATCAAACACAAATCTACGCCTGGAGACTGGCGTAGTTTTGTGTCCTTTTTTGGGAAGAATACATCTTCCAATGTTTTTTTATCATTATTATGATTATTTTAGTTGCCATTTGTATAGGCACAAAATCTTGGGTTATTAAAAATGTAAAAAAAACCAAAGTTGGGTAAAACAGGCCATTTAAGCAAACTTTTCCCATGTTTTTCACCATTTCACAAGTTTGATCACAAGCTTATGTGTTAATGGTCATTTTTAATCACCTCCAAAAGTCAAGGTAAGCACTGGGCTGCTTCTAGAAAATCTTTATTCTAAGGTTAAAAGGGGGGGGGAACTAGTGTGTCATACCCATTGAATTGAATTAAGCTCTCAGTCACCATAGAGATATGACACAGTTACCTCAGAGTCCTCAGGCACCATATAATCAGACGAGATGGTCACCAGGCTAGCACAAACAACAGCGAGCACTCTCCTCATGTCTAGGTACTGCTGACAGATGAACACTTTGTGCTCAGGGCAGAGCTGGGCTGGAAAAAAGCAGAGGATATCTATTTCACACACTAATTGACTCACCCACCCTGCCCTCTGTCTTTGCTCCTTCAAGCTACCAAGTAACCAAGCATGAAAGGCCTGAGAGCTTACAGTTCGAAGCAATCTTGCACTGGCATCCCCAACCTGTTGATGAAATGGAGGTTTATGGTGTTATGGACCAGGCTTTCTATAGCTCCTTTCTACTCCTTTCTGAGAACTCAAGCACTTTCTTCTACTAAGTGTCAATCACATAATCATACATGCACATAGTGGTTTTATCTATACGAAAGCACTTTTATCTAACTCACTCACACTCCGATGGATACATCAGGGAAAACTTGGGGTTTCGTATCTTGCCCATCTTGCTCTTTGAGACATGGGGAACACAGGAATATCTGGGGATTGATCTGACCAGACAGTCTGCTATCCAACTACTAACCAGGCGCTAACATTTTCCAAATTCCGACAAGATCGGATTAGTTTTATTAAACTTTTAAGAAATATACTTTTGGCGCATTTGAAGGAAATGATCAAATAAAGAGCCACAGACCAAATAGTTTTCATTGTGTCATAATAAAGTTTGATTTCCCTCTGATCTATAGAGAGAGCCCAAGCTGTTTTTTGATACTGCATTTTGTAAGTGACCCCACTGATTGTGGCCACAGCAGACTCACTCACTATGAGTCACAGCATCTAGATAGAAGAGCTAGATTGCTTAGCTGTCTGCCGCTGAGGCAGATAAAAGACAGACTGTGGCTACAGCCATGGTTGTACTTTGGTTCTTATGATTACGCATATGACACATTAGCTTATAATGAGTGTTGCACTACGTGCAGAGGTTTTATGACGTATGGAGTGAAAATCATGATTGTGCTAACTAGGCATTGTATTAAACTACTGTGTTCTTTAACGGCTTAGGTGGATTGGTAGCAAATCTTTCATATGTAATGAGAATAACTTTTGTGGCTAACATGCAGGTTAATGCCAACAGGACCACTGAAGGACAGTCACAGCACAACACACACTGAACCAAAGTTACATGTGCTTGAATGATATTGATGTGGATTGTGCTTTGATCAGAGCCACCAGTGCACATTTAAAATGCCACAAAGGCTGGTCCAACCGTAAGTGAAAATATCACGAAAAAAAGCACTGAAAAAAAGCATGCAAAAATAAGAACAGGTTAAAACCAAAGTCAGAAAAATCAACCGTGTCTATGTTGAAAGATCAAATTAAAAATGATAATAATGGTTTACAAGTGCAATGCCGGAGGGTGAAATTTCACTGCATGAGTCATCAGTGCTCTTAATACCTCAGGGGGAGCAACAGAATCAAACTCCTTTGTTTACAAGCATCAATAAATTTAAGAGTTTGAGCATGTGAAGCAATAACTTCCTGAAAAAGTCATGGACACACGAGGAGAATGTGGGTGTTTCTGACAGCAAGTCTGAATTTGGATGAGCCAAATTTTCAAAAATAAAATCTGTTCACATCAAGAGCACAGTGTCGTGCCTCAGACACGACATGATCAACGTAAGCCAGAAAACAGGTTCTCAGATACTAGCAGGAGAATGTGGGGTTCAGAATCAAGGGCTTCAAGTACCTCTGGAACAGCCACATGCGTTGAAGCAGAAGCTTATATGGCTGCTCTTCTTGCTCCAAGACTGTTTAAAGCCAAATATCATTTGGTCCCACAATAACAGGAAATAGGAAAAAGAAATGAGTGATTCAAGTGTTGACAACAGCCTCACTTACTCTTATAAACCCCCTTCTCAAGTCAATAAGAGCCTCAAGAAGCCATGTGCAAAGCAGCGTGTTCAATAGATGTAATTATAAGGTATCCTATTTCAACAATATAGAGAGCGAGGATCTAACGGCCTTGCTGCTGTTCAATCTTATGGTTGAGGAGAATGTTGAAGTCCAAATTGTCTGTGAGTCTCATATGAGAGGGTCTATGTTCCTGGCAGGGCTCTGCTGGGCTGTTTGTGATTGAATGAATTTAGGAGGAATTAAAACACAAAGCTGGATGTTGAGATCTCAGTTTGGTACTGGCTAGCATTGGAAGTAATAATCATTTAAAGTCTGAACCATGGCCAGAATATTCAAATTCTTTGTAACTGAAGCGTTTTGTTGTTTCGTTTTTTTAAACCTTCCATCAATTTTTAAAAATAAAACACGTTTGGTTTGCTTAGAAATGCAATGTGCAATTTATTGTGCCTTTTTTTGGGGGGGGGGGGGGGCGGGGGGGGGGGGAGTATAGCCGATGTTGTTAAAGTCTCAAAAACTCAAAAAAAAACTTGTGTATGAAATATGATGCACTAGGCATTTAGGGGGAAATGTACGATCTGTGATAACCAACCAAAATTAAATAACTGCTATGCTAATAGATTTCAGAAAGCTCATAAGTGAGCAGTAGGCCACGACACAGAAGAGCTGCAGCGGTGGTTATAGCAAGTGGCTGCATACTTTAACATCTCCATTTGAAATAATTTAGCACATCAAGCGTTACATAATTACACTTTGCACTGTACGATGAACTGAAATGTAAAAGTTCTGGATTAGGTCGAATAAAACAAAAATACTAAGAGGAAGCCAAAAGAAAGTAGATCCAAAATAAAACTTTCCATTGCAACCCCTGCAGGGGTCTATTGAAAATGGCAAATAGAGGTCTTAAAATACAAACTCACCTCTTTCTGCAGTTAAACATGTTCAGGCACCTACTGTGCTCAAATGGCAGTAAATATTAAAATGAACAGAGATTTTGGCTCTGGTTCTATAGGGTGTTAAGGAGCTGCTTGTTCTTTCGCAAACTATTTGCTGCCAAGGCAGCTGACGCACCAAAAGACATTTAACAAAGATTGGGTATACATTTCCAATCATGGGCAGGCTGAAAAGCCTTAGAAATAGTACTTAAGCTGAAAGGGGTAAAAGAAAACTCCATTTACTGTCAAGGTACCTTGAAAATATGCAATGTTTTAAATACTTCCCACAGAAATACTTTTTTTTGTTTGAAGGACGCTGCAGGTAACATTTACCTCTTCTCTCTGCTGCAGATCAGCAATTCAAAGACTTACCAGCTCACAAGTGTGTTTGCTGACAACAATAATTACATCTACCAAAATGACAATTAGAGACACTGCAAACCTGTCTTTGTTCAGTCCATCCAGTTACTACAACTGGGCAGTTTGAGTAAACCATAATCTGGCATCAGCTGCCTGTGCTGAAGATGAGAGCTGATTTTTTTATGTATATTTTTGTGTGTAGTATATCTTTACCCAGAAACATAGTATCTCAAATTACAGACAAACAAAAACATGCTTGTCAAAAAGATCAAAGAGGAATTTACTAAATGTATTAAATCTATTACATCTAGCTGATGTTTTTATCTCAGCTTTGAGAAAACCAGATCTTTTAAACTCAGAAAAAAGTGAATTAATAGTGAGGAAAACAATGTGCACACCGTCGTATGCAAAGTGTGCTGCAGCTATGGTTTGTTAAGCAGCTTTCAAAACCTGGGAGTATCAAGATGAACTGATAATTGTCATTTCAAATTTGCAAATGGTTGACTGAGTGAGCTCAGAAAGCAGCTTCCAACCCACAATTCTTGTGTCTTGGAGCAAACCTAACAACATGAAGAGCTGGTTTAAATAATTACTTAACTGTCACACTCCTGTCCTGTGAAAACAGGTTTTAAAGGCACAACCCTCTGCTTTTAAGATCATGTTCAGAGTGAAAAATACTTAATTAGGCTTTTTCCAGATGGCTCGGGTAACTGCAAAGTGCCGGTTACCATAGCGATAACTAATGGCTCATGCTACTGAGGGACTTCTTGTGATGCATCAAACATTTCTGCTTCACCCCCATTTTTTGTCATTAAATATTATTTAATTTCTCTCTCTCTTCCGTCCAATAGTTTGCACAGTTTGTAGTGTATTTTCTCTCTTTTCTGACCTTGTCCCCAACTACTCTAGAGGGGTTTTTTCCTGTTAAGCTGACGTTTTTTGTCCCCACCGTCTTCAAGTGCCTTCTCATGGGGGAACACTTGATTCCTTGAGGTTGTAGGTTCTTTACAATAGAAAACACCCAGATAGGACTGCTATTTGAATTGAAGCTTTTGTTTGATCTCAAAGGCACAGTAAATTGCCAGCAAGGACATTATTCCTTTTCACTGGAATAATACTGTAAAATTCTTACAGACGCCATTACTACTCCGAGTTTGTGGCAGATGAGGTGAGACAGAAAAATCCAGCTGACTACCGTGCCTAATTGTTGAGTGAAATGAACAAATTCTAAATCATCACTGTAAGTTCAGTGGCTTGTAATGCGGGGAAATGATTGAAGAAGCGTGCAAAACACATTCAGTTTTTGTTTCCACGTGTTTGTGTGCAGAAACATTACCACAGTACACCCAGCAGTAAATGTAGTTTTATTATACTAAAATCAAAGTATCTGTGTCTGTTTGTGTAACTTCCCTCTCACTATACATACTGAATTCAGACTGGGGAAGTTTATTTTATGAGTATGACCTGGAATTAAAGCAAAACACATCAGGATTGTTTCTTGCATCAAATGCTGTTTATGTGGCATTCCAACAGTCCCAGCAGCCAGCCCCAGTCAGTCACATCTGAGTTCACCTTGGACAAATTGGGACCTGTCAAAGTAGTTTAAATGCCTTGGGCTTAATTGCCTCAATCAAAGCACTTTTGTAGTGCCACCCATCCAAAAGCCATGAAGCCAAGTCATGAGTCACCCTATAAAAAAGCCCAAAGTGCAATAAACTATGACTGCTGCCAGATAAAAGCAAGAGTGCAAACAGGGAACCGCGCGAGTGAGTGTGTGTGCACGGTGTGTTAAAGATAAAATTTCAGAAATGTGATCTGGGTCGTGCGGTTGTTTACTGCAGAAAATTTTTAATTTGTTCCCCAACATTAATGTTTCTTTGCAAATCCTTTGAATCCTCCCACCACCACTTCTCTCCTTGTAGCTCCTGTAAACAC